ACACACACACACACACACACACACACACACACACACACACACACACAAACTCCTTAAATTCATTGGTCTAAAACTGAAGTAATAACTGCTACATATGTATAGAGGTCTAGGTTCAGTTCTTTGGTTGGTGGTTCAGGCTCTGTGAGTCCCTGTAGGCCCAGGTTAGTTTACTCTGTAGTTCTTCTTGTGGTGTCCTTGACCTCTTCAGCTCCCTCTATTCTTCCTCCCACTCTTCCACAGCATTCCCCAATCTCAGCCTATTGCTTGGCCTTGGGTCTCTGCATCTGTTTCCATCATCTGCTGAATGAAGCTTCTCAGAAGACAGATATGCTAGACTCCTATCTGCAAGCCTAGCAGAATATCATTAATCATGACTGTGGTCAGCCCTCTTCTGTGGGGTGGGTCTCAGGCTGGGCTAGTTGCTGGTTTGCTGTTTCCTCACTCTCTGCTGCATCTTTATTCCTACACTTCTTGTAGACAACACACATTTGGGGTCAAAGGTTTTATGTGTGGGTTGATGCCCCCCTCCCTCCACTATGAGTCCCACCTGGCAACAGGAGGTGCTGACTTCATGATCCTTAACACCTGTTGCTTGGAGTTTCAGCTAGGGTCACCTCCATAGACTCCCAGGAGCCTCCCCTTCCCAGAGATGCTCCCACTGATTTCTATTCTCTCTCCTAATTCTTACCCTTATCCCCTTACTTTTTAATTACATCATTTTCTCCTCCCTCTCCTCTCTCCAACCCTTCTCCCTCCTATGTTCCCCCTCAATCACTTGCAAATTTACAACCCCCTTACCTTTAATTAGTATCATCACATGTGCATAAATGTATAAGTATTATAGGAATAATTCCAGAACTGACCACTTACTATCACAAGACCAATTAAGGGCTCATTCCTGGGGAAGACTTATTTTCCTGCTCTCTACAGTCATTAGTTGCCAGTAGTTATTAATCTAGGGTTAGAGCCCTGTGCTATTTTGCTCTCCTCTATCTTATCTATTGGTGATGTTTTCATTATCACTCAGGTCTTATTAAGGTGTCATAGGTGCAGGTTTCCTGCCATTTCTGGGAAACACAATCACATAGTTGACTTCTTAATCCTCTAGCTCTTAGACTCTTTTCACCCACTTCTTCCATGACCTTTCCAGAGCATAAGGTGTGTGGTTGTGTTGTCAATGTATCCACTTGGGCTGGGCACACCCGTCATCAGTTGCTTTCTGCATTTGGACCACTGCGGCTTTCCATAATGGTCTCCATCTCTGCAAAGACAAGCTTCTTTGATGAGGAAGAGAGATACGCTTATTTATGAGTACAAGGACGGATATTTAGAATGCATTTTAGGAATTTCACTGGTTTAGTTAAAGTAGCTAAACTATGCTTCTCTAAGATTTATAACCTCACTAGCCCCGGGTAATTGGCTAGGTTTCCAGTAACACGCGTAATTTCCCTCCTGTTGAGTGGGCCTTCAGTCCAATCAGACAGGTGTTGGCTTCCAGCTAGATATAAGTGCCACTACTGCACCTTCAGGAATATCTTCCCAAAGCATGAGTATTTGCAATACATTACTATGGCAATTTTGTCTGGAAATGTTTCCTAGTACTCTAAGAAGACTTTACTACTGTTGTGTAATCAGCTGGAGGATGCATCACAGGACTCCAAAAAACATCTCAAAAGCCATATGTCCTCAAAGATGACTCAAGACCTCACTAATTTTTGTTCCCACTCGTATGCCCTTACTGCCACTTACAAACTGAAGATTTTGCTTGTCCTTCCTGACTAGTTAACAACCCAAAAAAGTCAGTTACCAAGTCCTGTTTACACATGAATACTCTTCTAAACCTTTGCCCTATATTCTGTTCCAAATATTTCAATCTTGTTTATTCCTTGATGCAAT